TGTCTACCCACTGATAAATAGTACATTTATACTGGATATCATTTAGCAAAAAAAGCAGCTAAATATTTACATGTGCTTATATCATGAGTAGACCTTAAAATGAAAGCCAACCATAAAGGACTGTATACTATATATTCCACTTATAGGAAATGCCTGGGATAGGTAAATGGGCAGAAAGCAGATGAGTTACATCTAGGAACTGGTGGTAATTGCTGTTATCTTTTAGCATGTTCAACTAAAAATTATTATACTATATACCTTAAATTTTAAGTGGGTAAACTGTATGGTACCCAAGTATGAAAGTATATTATAAGTTACATATTATATAACTTATATAGAGTATGAAGTATGTTATAAGTTTATGAGTTGGATTTAATGATGAAACTGAATGACAGAGAGGCAGTTTCTGTTCTTGCCATCAGTCTGCATGGAGTGACTAATATTTTAGCTCCTTCAGATCTTGCCACATCCTTATTGTTCAGGAAAACTTACTGATCTCCATTTCAGTAATTAGGAAACTGGAGTACAAAGTGATTAGTTAGTTTCCCTGAAATAGCATAGCAATAAGTGTTAAGATCAGGATTTAAAAGTCAAGCCTCCCTGATACTACAACTACAACTCACTCTTCTTTCTTCTTGTATATTTTAAAAATGTTTATTCTGTGTGTGTGTGTGTGTGTGTGTGTGTGTGTGTGTGTGTGTGTCTTTGTGTGTGCTGGTCCTGGAGCTTCACTTCAGGGTCTGGGTATTGTTCCTGAGCTTCATCTTGCTCAAGTCTAGCATTCTACCACTTGAGGCACAGCTCCATTTCCACCTTTTTTCTTTGGTGGTTAGTTGGAGATGAGAGTCTCATGGATTATCTTGCCCAGGTTGGCATCAAACTGAGATCCTTAGATTTCAGCCTCCTGGGTGTAGCTAGGATTAAATGCATAGCCACCAGTGACCGACAAAATGTTTATTCTTTCAAGTTGTTAATACATTCATTTATTTAAAAATGCAAAGTGACACAAATGGTGTACATTCTTTTTCCATCTATCTTCTTCCCTGCTCCACAGGTATATTCTTGTGTAACAATGAGGTGTTTTTTTGTTTTTTTTTCGGGTTGTGGGGCTTGTACTCAGGGCCTGGGCACTGTCTCTGAGCCTCTCTGTGCTCAAGGCTAGCGCTCTACCACTTGAGCCACAGTCCCACTTCTGGATTTTTGAGTATTTTATTAGAGGTAAGAATCTCATTGGGCTTTTCTGCCTATGCTGGCTTTAAACCTCGATCCTCAGATCTCATCATTCTGAGTAGCTAGAGTTACAGGAACTACCTGCACCCACCTACAATCAGTATTTTCTTAAGTACACAAAACACACAGAGGCATTTTTATTTTTCCCTCTTTAGTCAATGTATGCTGTACATATTATTCTACACCTTTCTTTGTTTTTTATTTCTCATGGCATCCTAGAGATCCTTATTACTAATTTTAACTCTGGATCTTCCTGCCTTTGCTTCCTAAGCACCGAGTTTACAGTCAAGTGCTACTATGTGCAGCCCATGTTAGTATTTGTTATGCTTATGTTTATAGCTTCAGAGAATTCCATTGTATAGATGTATCATAATTTAATTATTTTTGTACCCACAAATGGTCACTAAATTCTTCCCAAGAACCTATACTTTGAAACTATTCCCAAAAGCAAGAAATAAACACATAAGAAATCTAACCACATTTACTATAAATTCCTTTCCTTAAAAATGGACTACTTTGGAGATAGGAATCTTCTTTATGGTTATACTAGATTTTGAACTCAGGGTCTTGTGCTTGGTGGACAGGTGTGTTCTACCACTTTAGTCACACCCCCAGAACATTTTTTGTTTTACATTTTAGGTAAGCTCATCAGTTTTTACTAGAGCTGATTTCAGATTACAATGATCCCAGTACCTCTGCCACCCATGGTGCCAGCACACAAGGGCAAGAATTTTCCTTTAAGGCGCTAGTTGATTAGAAAAAAAATAAACCCAACATAACTTAAGACATCTAGGTATTTAATACTATGTTCTTCAAAACTGGCATATTGAATCCTTAACTCTTAAGCTGATGCTATTTGTCATGGAGCCTTCACTGGGAAATTAGGGAATAAAGGTGCAGTATCACAAGTGGATTAGTGCCCAGAGATCTCCTTCTTTGCTTTACCAGTTGAGAATAGCAGAAACTAGATCGCAGTAGAAGGCCTAGAAAGAAGCGACCTTCAATAGACACTGACTTCTCCATACCTTAACCTTGGCTTCCCAGCATCCAGAAGTAGCCCGAACAGACTAGATTCAATCAACACCAACAGAAACAATGATATTCACACAGAGCTGTGGGATGCAGGGAGGTCTGTTCCATTCCTACAAGTGTCTATTGAAGGGAGGCCCAGGCATTCAGCATGCACCGAGGTACATGCTGAGATCTGCCTGTTCTTTCTGCTGATTAAGATCTGTAGATAGGAAGACTCAAATATCTACTATGGAACAGAAGGTCATTCCTATGGCAAGTCTCACTCAGTTCCTTTAGCTGGAAGGAACTCAAGTTCTTACTGTAGCAAAACCAGATGCAAATATTTCAAGGCTTCTGTAGTTAGCTTTATAACCACTATTTTTAGTCTGAAAATCATGTGAGTTTTGTTTCCTATATATTATCATTTTTGAGAAACTATTGTATCAATAAGAGACTGAATTTTCTAAAGGATGTCTTATGTAAAATGAGTTTGAGTATTAATATGCAGTAAGAAATGTCACAGAAGCCTGGTATCAGTGGCTCACATCTATAATTCTAGGTACTTAGGAGGGTGAGATCTGAGAATCGTGGCAGAAAAGTCCTGTGAGACTTATCTCCAATTAACCATTCAAGAACTGGAAGTAAAGCTGTGGCTCAAAGTGGTAGAGAACTAACCTTGAGCAAAAATGGTCAGGGACCAGTGTCCAGACCTGAGTTCAAGCCCCATGGCCAAAAAAAAAAGAAAGAAAAAGAAAAAAAGGAAAGGTCAGAGGAGTTTAAACAATATACCTGGAGTTAGAGAACAGTGATCTCTTTTAAATAGAATGTACAAACGAAAGATGTGCAAGCTATTTACAGCTGAAGGAAGTGCTGACCACGAAATAGGAAAGGCTGAACTTAGTATTACCAGAACACAAACATGTACATGGCTTAATAGACTTGAGCACTATCTCAGGAAACATCCTATGTATTATGCATCTGGTGCAACGAAGGCTCAGGAAATGATTTTGTAAAAACACACACAACTCCATGAGCTTCACAGAGGGTGGATAGCTGAGGAAGTCCAGGTATTAAAGAGAAGCTGCTTACACCTAGATAGAAATCTGCTACTATGGTAGCTTCACAAATTTTCTGATTGTAACTATAATGTAAACTTGGAGAACAATGAGAAATATAACGAAAACAATTAAAATCATTTACCATTCTACCACCCAGAGAGAGCTACTGAAATATTACATACTTGATTGCAATGTTCTTTCTTTGTACTTTGTGTGTGTGTGTGTGTTGTGCATATATATCTAATTGCAAGTAACATTTCATAAACAGATTCCCCCATTTCTTGAGTCCTTTCTCACATTATATATTCTTGAGGATGTAACTTGAAGGACTGTATCAGGTTGCACCTTGTGAAATTAAGCAGAATGACTTTCCATATTATTGAACCTCTAGGTTTTTTTCAATTGCTTTTCATTTTATAAATAGCACTTTGAATTCTTTGTTGTTGTTATAAATCTTCACATGTCTATCTCTTTATTAAGGGAAGTTAAAAGCATATCATGTTGTCATCTTCAAACTTAAATCACTCAGTGTAGCACTACCTAAAGACTCATAGTGGGGGTGCCTCAGTACAAAAGTCAAACAATGCTGAGCAGATAAACAATATTATTTTCATATAGCTCACAGTCTATAATTTATTCCCCTGCAGCAGCCTTCTTTCAGGAAGCACATTATTTCCTCTAGGCAAATGGACTATTACGGGGTTAATCTAAATGCAATAACATGAAAGTCGGCTGACCCAGATTTCTCCAATATCAGTATGCATGCAATTACAATATTCTGCAGATTGAAAAATACCCAAGGCTCTTGAAAACACATATTTTTATCATGCTTTCTTGAAAATACATATTTTAGCATGCTTTTTTTAAAAAAATGATGTACAATGGGCACTAACAGGGAAACAAAGTTTACAGCCAGTGAAAGTTGACTTTGTGTAAACCCAAGTTACAGATAATGTAACACGGTTCTTTTCAAAGTATAGATTTTTCCCCTGCTACTTCATAGCTATAAGACTTCAGTGATCTCAAAACATTGAAGTTATTAATAATTCCTGTTTGGAATTACATGGCCTTAATAGCCCAGATTTAAATTCTCTTTAGTCTATATTTTTAAATTGTTTTATTTTCAAGAGGCAAAATAGGGTGTTCAAGAGGCAAAAAAGTATGCATATTTATAATTATATTTACATAAAACACATAAAAATACTTGTGTTCCATTAGCTAATGAAAAGCAAAGTAAAACAAACACAACATAATTTCTACCTATATCACTGTTAACTATGGAATCAGTCAAATTCCAAAGACACCCTCAGCATGTGTGGTTAGATGAAGACAACACAGCTGCACGGTACAGTTTTGCAGACTGTACACTGAACAACTCTAGACGATAAAGTCAAACACTGATTTATGTTACTGGCATACTCTGAGGGTGTGAAGTGCATACTCTATATAGCTATAGAGGGTGACCTTATTTATGCGTCTCTTTCTCTGTAAACTTTGAAAAAGAAACGTTTTGGGTGGAAAAGGGTCTTTAAATATGTATATATGTATATGTATATATATATATATGTATCTTTTCTTTTTCAACAAAGGGATCTTGCAAGCAAATAGTGACTAAGTCCCCCAACCTCCCATGCGTCACTGTGACAGGCTCTTTGGCTTCCCCTTGGCTCTCCCCCCACCCGCTGGAAGGCAGCAGGGTACCTTGTGTGAGTAACTGCAGGTTTCTGACCTCTTCTCGCACCTTCAGCTGGAGCACCTGTTGTAGGATGTGCTGTCTAAGGTTCTCCTGGGCAAGCCCCATGCGCTCCAGCTTCTTGTCTGTGAGTCTCAACAGGGCTCGTCCTGCAAAGGGGTTAAATGAAAAGAAAAGCAAGTGAGCAGTTTGCTGGAGGATTTCCAGCTTGGGCTAACCTTGCTGAATAGAATTTTCCAACTAAGCACCGATGCTTCAGAGCAGGGGGTCTGGCTACAGGGACTGACAGTCATAATATGCAGTTCAAACCCTATGAAATTAGGAAAGTGGAGGGGATGGGTGCTGTTGGGAGAATGATGAAAGAGGTAACATGGACCAAGATGCACTACACTCATAAGCTTATATGTCATATTTATAAGATATTTCTTTGTTGCCTTGTATGTCCCTCCCCCATGGTATAACCCCTGTATTTGATTTCACTGTATTTGATGTTGGTATAATTTGTGGAGGGGAAGGAAAAAAAACCAAATTGTTTAAATAGGGATACAGGTGGACCCATTGCAACAATGAGATGTACAAATTGTTATGTCAAAAAATGAACTTTAAAACTTTGGCGCGGGGGGGAGGGGGAGGAGAGGGGATGAGAAGGGATGGGAAGGGGAAACAAAGGAGGAGGCAACAATGCTTGATAAGAAATGTACTCATTACCTTGCCCATGTAATTGTAACCCCTCTGTACGGTATTCTCACAATTAAAAAAAATAAGGTGATATGTTGCATTGAAACTCCTTTGTACAGCTACCTGAAGATAGTAAAAATATAATAGAAAAAGACTGGATGAAGAGAAGTCACATGTGTAAGAGAACTCTAATTTTTACACAATAGCAATAATCCTAACTTGTCTGTACATTCAGGTAGATAAAACGGCAAATTTCAAATCTGGATATTTGGGTCACAGATTGCAGGTTTCCATAGAAACAATACTCTTCCTAGAGGTGGGTTCTTGAGTGGCCACAGCAGTCTGACACTGACAGCCCAGCTGCAGAACCAGATGCACTAACTAACTCTGGTTAGGAAAACCTCAGCAACACATAGCCTGAGGTACAAGCATGCTTCTATGAAACATGTATTGAAAGTCTGGCTTGAATCTGCAGCCCTCCACATGTCCACTGTACCACTGGCATTGGACCGGTGTCTCTATCCAGCTGTTGAGAACACTGTTCTTAGCTGAGGATAAGGTGAGTGAAGGAGAAACAAAGTGAACATGGACATCTGGAGAGTACTGAGCAAGGCACACTAGAAGTGGGTGCCTGCAGTGCCACCCACCCAGACACTGGGCAGCCCTGCACCAGCTCCTCTCAGTCCCTTTCTTTCCCCTAGAGGCCTGCATGCTTCCCCTCTACTGTGATTCCTATCAAATCCCATAAGTCTCTGCCACTCTGAGCTTGTGCTGGAATAAGCACACATCTGTTTCAATATTAACTATTCAGCTGTTCAAATGTTGTTATCTGAATCGTGAGACTATAGATGTTTTACTTTCCATTCCATAGAAAAAGAAGTGGAGAAATTAAAGAATATTTAACATGCAAAAACATTTCCAAACTCTTCACACTATACTTCCAGTTATGCTTTATCTTCCTTGGCAGAAAAATAAAAGGCTTTATCTTCAGGAGAAGGATCAAGGGTAATGTGCATAGAATTTCCTAATAAATCATCTGGGAAAGATCAGGATTGGGGAATGGGAATCTGGAGTGAAATCCAGTTCACTGGCTTCCATGGTTTCTTCAGTGCCATCAGGCTGCTGCTTTTGCCACATTTTGCAATAATTAAATCATTTCTGGGAGCAATATCCCATCAATGTCCTTTTTTACTCCTTCTGCTGACTATGCATTAAAAGAAAAGTCCATACAAATGTACTGCTTTTCATGCAGGTAAGTAGTAAGGAGTCTGTCATCAATTATATCTTTTGTTTTCAATTTATAGTGTGGATTTTTGTTGCTTACCATAAAATACATTTTTTCCCACAAACATTGAGCATTTACCATATGCATCATGTGGGCATAATGATGACCAAGGTAGACGATGGTCACTCTTAAAGCTTTCAGACTGGCAAAGAAGGCAGCTAATGATGTGTCTACAGGTATGCGATGAATTCTATGTAAGGAGAAATATGAGAGCTCCCTCTATGATCCAGCAGTCCCACTTCTGGGCATTTACCCAAATGATCACAAACAAGGCCACACTAAAGCTACTAGCACAACTATGTTCATTGCAGCATTATTTACCACAGATAAGATATGGAACCAACTCAGATGCCCCTCAGTAGATGAATGGATCAAGAAAATGTGGTATATCTACACAATGGAATTCTATATCTCCATGAAAAAGAATGACATTGCTCCATTCCTAAGGAAATAGAAAGATTTGGAAAAAAAAAATCACATTAAATGAAGTAAGCCAGACCCAAAGAAACATAGGTTCCATGGTTTCCCTCATTTGTAGCAATTAGTATATATCTAGGATGATCCTAGCAGAGGATCACAATAGCTCAATAGTTATGTACATATGCCCATATAAAATGATGACAATTGAAATGAACTTCAAGATATGGAAACAAGAGGGTTTTGTTGTTTTTAATGTACAGTATGAAGTTCTTTCTTTTCCTATTAGGTTTATCCCCTGTAGTCACTACTTTTGATCCTGGTACCCCTGGTACTCTATATCTTGTATGTACATTTATCTGATTTGGGGAAAGGAAGGGGAATAAAAAAATGACAAAACAAGGACAAAGGGTGAACCAGTGCAACAGCGATACTCAAAAGATGCTATGTAGGAAATGAACTTTACAACTTGCAGGGAGGGGAGTTGGGGAGGAGGAAGTGGGAAAAAACCAAGGGAGGGGCTAACAATGTTGGACAAGAAATGTACTCATGACCTTACTTATGTAACTGTAACCCCTCTGTACATATCCTTTGCAACAAAATAAAATTAAATTAAAAAAAAAAAACAAAGAAATATGGGAGCTCAAAATTGGATGACTTCACCTGGTTTGGGCATTGGGAAGCCATCATATAGCGAATGCCGTTTAATCTAAGACTTAAAGAGCAAGTAAGAATCACAAGAACTAGATAAAGCAAAGATTTTTACAAGAGTCCAGTAACAGTGTGGATGAAGAGGGAGGCTGCTATTGCAGACACACAAGAAAGACAGCACTTGGATGGCTTTAACTTTGTCACAAGAGCACGGTGGTTCTGTAACCACTCATTGACACACAGAGAGAATCAAGGGTGAACAATCATCTCCATCTCAAAGCACCGAATGAGTCTGCTAGTTCCTCAAACTGGTTATAAATGGTAGTTAGGTAATATAGGCAGCTGGGCCCTCAGATTTAGCGTGGAGTTGGGAAAAACTCAAAGTCTTTACATCATTAATACTCCCAATTCTTCTACTTCTGTCCTTTATCAACACTGTGCTGAGCACCATCCTAGGCCTGCCACAAGTCTAAGTGCTGGGGATACGTGCAGTGTCTTCTGTCCTCCCAGTGCTCCTGTGCAGTGTGAGGAAGAAGATGTACCAAAACACCGAGGCCTTCTCCAGATATGGAAACCAAGATTTTATGTCAGGTTGAAGTAAGTGCTCTAAGACAAGGCAGGGTGTGGAGCTGGGGGCGGGGGGGGTGGCATGCAGGGACTCCCGACAGGAAGATGATAGATGTTGTGCTTTGGGGGATTAAGAAAGTGGAAAGGTAAAACTGGAACCAGAAGCAAATAGGAAGGAATAGAATTGCCAAGGCATTTAGGGGAATGGCTAGTGTCCACGTGGCAGACAGTACAGGACAAGAGACTAACAGGAAACAGAGTCTGAGAGCAGGCAGGGGCTAGATAATACATCCCCTGTCTACAAATAGATAAGTTTTGAGCAAGGGTAACTTGGGCACAACATCAGGTTAACAGAATCTTTCTGTCACTAGGTGGAAAGTGGATCAGGGGTAGAGGGCTAAGTATGGGGCACTCAGAAGAGTCTGGAAAATACCACAGGAAGCCTAAACAGGAAGTGGTGGTGCCTTAGGACTGGAGAGGAAGAAAAGAGTAAGAACCCTGAGTCTATTCTTAGACTTTGTAATGCCTACAAGTAGCACATGAAGGAAAAGCAGATCTCAGAGATGATTCAGATTTCCAACCTGACCCACCAATGGCTGGTGGCTCCAGTAGTTAGCAGGAAATGGAGTCACTTCTCCAGGAGAGGATGTGTTGGATGAAGGAAATCAGAGATGTGCTATGTTTTTCCCCTTTTGGGAACACCTGGGATCTGGAGGAACAATGTACAGGATACAGTTAAACAAAAGAGGACAATTAAAATTGTTTCACTTGGTGGTTGGCGTTAAGAAAAAGAAGACCTGAATTCCATCAGAAGTCCTTCCTCAATGTTAGCAATACCACAGAACTTGTTGTGGAGGTCCAGGCCAGGAAATACACAGCCGAACAGTAAGCTGGTACAGCCTGGGAAAGTGAGTTTTGCTGCATCTGAAGATATTACTGTGTATGCCAGCTCCATAACAGTAGCTGGGATGGGCCATGAGGTACTCATACATTCAGTTATTGTTTCTGGATGAGAGAGAGATTGAATTTGGTAGATTAGGTAAGTCAGATTACTTATAGAGTGGACCAACTTCTGGCTTTTGAGCTAAAAATCCTCATTTGAGCCACCAACATTGTAGATTTCAGACTTAGCAACTTCAATAATCACACAACAGTTTATTTCTCTCTCTCTCTTTTTCCCTCCCTTCTTCTCTCCCTCTCTCTTGCTGTATGGAAACATACACACATATATCACTCTTAGGAAAGTCCAACTGGAATCTTAATGCCTAATAGATGAATAAAAATTATACCATAACACAGAATAACAGCGAGGGTCAAATAACATACGCACACACCCTTCACAATTCAGAACCATGGTGATAGCTGGGTGCCAAGCCTCTATATTCCTCCTCCTCCATTTCTTCCTCTTCCTCCTCCTAGCAGTGTAAACAGTTACAGTGTGGGAAACACAGTGCTAAGTACTTCACATGGACGAACTCATTTAAAACAGGTCTCTGAAAGTATTATGACTGATTAAGAGCTATCATAGCTAAAGGTCTTATGCCTAACAAG